TAAACTTCCCTAATGCACAAAAAATCATGCTAAAGAAAAAAAAATAGATTGTTTTCTTTCAAGTAAGTTTTTCCTAAGCTGAAAGCGGTGCCCGTAGCGAAAAAAGAAAAGGGAAAAAAAAATAGCGGAGGGCAGACATGACTATGTGAAGAGGGGTAGGGAAAGACAGGAAAGGGTTAAGTAAAGGTGGGAAGGAAGTAAAACATGTAAGTTACCTGATTGGTGATGGGTAGTGCGGGGTGGGGTCTTCATCACCTTTGGGAGTGGTGGGGGGTCAGACAATCCAGTGCAGGAGGGGCAGCAGAAGAGGAAACTTCCCTCCCTCCCTCCCTTGGGGTTTGTTTGGGTTTTTCAGTTCCCGGTTTGTTCTTGGTTCGGGGGCGATTGTTGGTCTTTGGAGGCGGCAAATAATTTTCAGCTAAAGGAAATGGTTGGGACCCATCGGTGGTATGATGTGCCCGGGTGCATTCCAGTTAACTGAGGTTTAACTGGAAGGTGGAGGTTCTGCACTGCGGATGGTGTGTTTTGTCTCCGAGCTGGTGCGTTGCGACTGGAGGCTTAGTATTAACAATATGGTTAAGGTTCCGCAGGGGGATATCGGTATTGTTTGGTGCCTTCGAAGACCAACAACTATGTTTCTGTTTTAAGGAATGTTTTTTTGTGTTATTGAAGTTGAATTGTTAATAAAAGGCCGTGATGGCCATTTTTACTCCAACTGTGTTTTGGTCTTCTTTATTGGTATATTAAAGGGGGTATATCGAGAGAGAAAGAGTTCTGTAGGGGTCTTAACTAGCACATCTCTTCTACACTAGTCATGAGCAAAACTGATAGTTTCCCACTTATCCATTTGTAAATGAGGTGAAAAATTGTATTAATAAAATAAATTAATGTGAAATACAAAAGGCAATTAATACATTGAAACTATAATTAAACGTCTGCATACGGTTATCAAAATACAATCTTTTTCACAGTAGAGTTCTTTTAATGCAGAACCTTATTTTTTCAGGGAAGCTGCAGAGATTCATCATTCAAATCAGGATTTTTCATATTCCACCAAGGTCTTCCATCATGTGTCAGGCACTTTCATATGTAATTCAAACTCTCCACTATTCATCAGACTCTCACACGTAGCACAGAGCCTCTATCATTCACACTGTCTCATCCACCTGATTTCTTTTACCATACCATACATCCAAGAGGCAGTTCTCTATTGACTACACTTTCATTACTGCTTATGTTTCCTGCACACATGCTGCCGTGTTAACCCACTTAAAACGATGAATATGCAGTACAAACATATGTTAATCTTGGGATCTTGATGTGGGCCTATTTATTTTAAACAGCCCCCATGCATCTTGTTTGCCTAATAGATTTCCAGGCTGTACAAGTAATTTGAAAAGTACACTCTTAGAATATGAACAGGCTTTGGGTCGATTGGCTGAAGAAATATAAAATACACTTTCTTTTGCACCTGTTTGAACATAATATAAGTACATTGCTTTGACCTAGGGGCTCCTGTAGATGGGCTTTATTTCTAAATGCCGTAATTTGAGTTTAAAAGCAATGCTGGCCTTTGTTCCAAGTACAATACATGCATTTGAGCAATGTTTTACCTGCAAGTCCTAGCGCATGTGCAAGTGCTGGCGTTGTGTTTGATTTGCTTTTGTCTGTGGTTGGGGAACAGCAGAAAGAATGGCACTGGCCATGGGTGATTGGACTATTTGTGCAGACAATGCAGATGCATAAGGTCCCTTTCACAGGAACATTCTGATCGGGTCCGCCTGTCTGTTTTTCAGGTGGACCCAATCAGACCCTCCATTCTCCATTTATGGAGAGACGGGGGAAACTGACATGTGTCTGGTTACACCTGCCAACCTCCGATCAGACAAAAACAAATGGGGGGGGGTCCGTTCACCTCTCTCTGGCCAGATCAGATTGGAGGGCAATTGGGTGTAAACAGATGGCTGGGCTGTTTTCATTCAACTGCCCATAGAGGAGCATGGGTTGTATCCGTGTCTGCTCTACATCAGTGGACCTGTCATATGCCTGCTCAGCGAGGTATCAGCGGGCAGATTCTTCGATGAGCAAGTGGAGCGCAAGCAAAGGGGGTTTAAGAGCTCAGGTTTAGAAAGATTTAGTTTGAGGAAGTGGAGTAACATCCATGCTAATATGTATTTAGTAGGTTAGTAATGCGAGAGGAGACTGAAGGGGTGAGGTGAGGAGTAGAAAGATAGATTTGTGTCATCAGCATAGAGATGGTACTTAAAGCCATGGGAGTTTATCAAGTGACCAAGGGAGGAGGTGTAGATGGAGAAGAAAAGGGGTCCAAGGACAGAACCTTGAGGGACCCCAACAGAAAGAGGAAGTAGAGGAGGAAGAGACAGAATTATAGGTAACACTGAAGGAGCGCTGTGATAGGTAGGAGAACTAGGAGAGAGCAGAGTCTCAAGAGGCCAAGAGAGTGGAGTTTTTTGAGGAGGAGGGGATGGTAAACAGTAGCAAAAGCCCCAGAGAGGTCAAGTAGTAAAAGTATAGAGTAGTGGCTATTGGTTTTAGCTGTCAGTAGATCATTAGTGAGTTTTAGTAGGGCAGTTTTAGTGGAGTGTAGTGAGTGAAACTCGGACAGTGAGGGCTTTTTAACCACTTGCCTACTGGGCACTTATACCCCCTTCTTTACCAGGCCAATTTTCAGTTTTCAGCGCTGTCGCATTTTGAATGACAATTGCGCAGTCATGCAAGATTGTATCCGTATGAAATTTTTATAATTTTTTTTTCACAAATAGAGCTTTCTTTTAGTGGCATTTAATCGCCGCTGGACACTTTACTTTTTGCGCTATAAACAAAAAAAGTGCAAAAAATTTGAAAAAAAAAGTTTCTTTGTTTCTATTATAAAATATTTCAAACAGGTAATTTTTCTCCTTCACAGATGTGCGTTGGTGAAGCAGCACTGATGGGCACTAATAGGCGGCACTGATGGGCACTGATAGGCAGCACTAATGAGGTGTCACGGATAGGCAGCACTGATAGGTGGCACTGACTGGCATCACTGCTGGGCACTGACTGGCGGCACTGCTAGGCATTGACTGGCACAACTGCTGGGCACTGACTGGCACAACCACTGGCACTGACTGGTGGCACTGCTGGGCTGCACTGCTGGGCACTGGTGGGTGGCACTGGTGGGCGGGCACAGGTGGGTGGCACTGCTGGGCACAGGTAGGTGGCACTTCTGAGCACAGGTGTGTGGCACTGCTGGGTGGCACAGGTGGGTGCACTGCTGGGCACAGGAGGGTGCACTTCTGGGCACAGGTGGGTGCACTGATAGGCACAGGTGGGCGCACTGCTGGGCACAGGTGGGCGGAACTGGTGGGTGGCACTGCTGGGCACCGATCATCAGGGCACTGATCATCAGTGCCCTGATTATCAGTGCCGATCCCTGCTCTGACAACTGCCGGTTCTCGGCAGTACATTCCTCACGCTCTGACAGCGTGAGGAAAGTGCAGCCGAGAACCGGCAATTGCATTTCCCGGTGATCAGCGTGTCATTGGACACGGCTGATCACGTGGTAGAAGGCCGCTGTGATTGGCCTTTTACCACAGCACGTGATCAGCTGTGTCCGTAGGGACACAGCAATCATGGAGATCGCCGGGTTCGCGCCCCCAGGGGCACGCAGGAGAGCACGCCCCCAGGGGCGCACAGGAGAGCACGTTCTGGGAGGACGTCATATGATGCCCTCCCAGAACTGGCCGGCTGCAGTGTAGCCGTCATTCGGCTATATGCGGTCAGCAGGTGGTTAAGTATGGGAGTGATCTGTGCATGCTTTAGATGGGAGTGCCAGTAGAGAGTGAGAGATTGAAGATGTGAGTGAGGGAGCAAAGGATAGAAGAAGAGGGTGACCGTAGTAGTTATGAGGGAGCAGGATCCAGGGGGCAGGTGGTGAGAAATAAAGCGAAGCTGGCAGGGAATTGTCATTTTGTTGAAAAGCTTTTTTATCCTTTTGAATATGACTTTTGCTGTAGTATTCTGTACAAATGTATTACTTTATAGGCAGGCTTAAGGCATTTTCCACCTATGTTATTTGAAGGAATTTTTAATGTTTCATTTTAAGCCCTAGCTCACTAAATAGTATTTTTGAAACTTTTTCTTGCAATGCTAAAGTGACCAGCTCCCTATGCCCTATGCCCTATGTTTGACAGTCCTTTGCCTATTAGCTTTGAATATAGAGAGAATTGAGTTTCAAGATCCTTGTTACATTGACTTCAATGAGATTCACATAAAGTTCACTGAACGTGCCCCTAAGCAAAACTCAAGCAGATTTGCCCATCAGTATATAGGATATGTGCACCATATCATAGCAATAAAAAGCCTAAAAGAAGAATTATCATTATCTTTATGGCACCAAATTAGCTTCTCTAGTTCCTTTTAATTGCTTCCCGACTGCCCTATAGCAGATATACTGCTACAGGGCAGCACGGATGCGCAAAAATCACATATATATATATATATATATATATATATATATATATATACGTGATTTTGCATTTCCAGGTAGGGGGAATGCGCCCTACCTGTGCCACCATTTACAGGCGCGGCTGTCAATCACCAGGTCCTGGCCGGTGATTACTCGCCGGCGCCTGGTGATTGCTGAACATCTCCGACGGGGAGGAGAACTGTATGTAAACAATACAGTTCTCCCTGTCAGCTCTTGCACACTACTTTGGACAGCCGTCCAAAGCAGTGTGATTACAGTGAAGCACATACACAGAACTTACAGTGAAACAGCGCACAGTTAACCCTTATCCCCTAATGTTAACCCCTTCCTGCCAAGTGCCCTTCGTACAGTGTCAGTGCTTTTTTTTATTTAGAACAGATCACTGTATTGGTGTCACTGGGAATTTCAGTGACACCAAATCAGTTCCCCCCAGTGTCAGAATGACCGCCACAGTCTCACTATAAGTCGCTGATCGCCATCATTACTAGTAAAAATACTTAAAAAAAAAATTCCAGTATCTATACCGTCATTTTTAAATGCTAAAACTTTCACATAAACCATTTAATTTACACGTATTGGGATTTTTTTTTTAGCAAAGACATGTAGCAGAATACATTTTGGCCTAAATTTATGAAGAAATTACATTTTTAAAGGTTTTTGCTGGACATGTTTAACCTCCCTAGCGATTTGATTATGTCCATATTTCTGTGCTCAAAGCGGTACATTTTTTTGCATGGAAATATGTATTTTTTTATTGTAGGCCTGTATTTTTTAGGAATAACTCACTGAAATCTGTCCGAAAAGTCTAGTAAACATCCCAGGTATGTTAAAATTTGAAACACGAAATCATAAATTATAATTTAATAAATAATCATAAAAAAATAATATTATAATAATACAATTAATTCAATAATATAATGAAACTAAAAACACTGAAATTTGAAATATAGCATCAAGTTCGCACATCACTGAGCAAAGTCGCAAAATCGTTTTCAGTGTCTGATGATGAATTTCCCACGAATCATTATCACTCAATTCTGCAAGTGGTTCTAATTTACTATCGCTGTTCTCTAGCTGGTCTAAAACCGATTTTGACCTAAAGGGACGCTTTTTGGACGCCATGGACGTTTCTCAGTTTCCAGGCAATAAGAACAGTAAAAATGCAGGCAGGGCACAGGACAAAGCACTAGGGACAAAATGTATGTGAAATGGTTTGATACAGTAATGTTTTACTATGTGATTTTAGTGTATTTAGTGAATGTCACTTTTTGTCATTTTCAAATTTCCCGCCAGTTCCATCCCTGTACGTCCCAACACTTGCAGGGGGCGGAACCCAGATGACAGATGCCGGCATCCGCCGGAGGACATTGCCGGGGACACTGCAGGGGGGACATTGCGGGAGCGCAGGACAAGGTAAGTGATCGAGGGATCCCGGAGCAGCGCCGCATGGTAATCCCGAGTGTAGCTCGGGGTTACCGCTTGTGGTACTGAAACTTTACCCAGAGCTACACTCGGGAATACCGCCAGGGAGGCTACTAGCAAAAAGTAAAAAATATTGTTTTTTTCTCAAAATTGTCGTTATTTTTTTATAGCGCAAAAAAATTAAAAACACACAGGCGATCAAATACCACCGAAAGAAAGCTCAATTCGTTGGAAAAAAGGATGTAAATTTATTTTTGGTGCAGCATTGCATGACTGCACAATTGTCAGTTAAAGTAACGCAGCGTTGTAACACAAAAATGGCCTGGTCAGGAAGGGAGGTAAATCCTCAGGAGGGCAAGTGGTTAAACTACCCTGGAAACTAAAAAGGAGAACCTAACTGATTTCCAAAAGTAATGTTGGGTCTTACAATATTTTAGGTTCCAATAACCAACACATTTGTGTTTTTGGAAAAGCAATGTACGTTTTGATATATGACCATTTTACATGCATATAGAACTTCCATATCCATTATAGATACAGCTTTAAAGAGACTATATTTGTACTCTAGGTACATCACTGACTAAAATTTGCCTTCAATTGTATACTGAAGGCCAAGCATTATGAAGAAACTTTAAATTCTTCTGTAGAGCTAGTAGATAAAGTTAATAAAGCAAAATCTCACCAACGCAGCAGTTAATTATGAAAACATTGGCTAGATTAGAGCTCTTCAAGTATGAAAGCAAAAGTGTGTGGTACTGGTAATGTGTAGAAATTACACAAGCTATTCAAGATCAATAGCAGGCTCTTTTCGGAAAAGAATCCAATCCTACCAGCAAAATATACTATATCCCAAGAGACTGACTGAAAGACGGTTCCATGTACAATAGCAATTTAAGTGATTTAAAATTAATACCTTTAAGAAATGTTTTTTATCTAATGTGGTCAACTGGAGAGGCATTTATTGGGTTGCGTTCCTCTCTGGGTAATCTCATTAATAAAGTCCATATGATCTCATTAGGAAACTGGAAGAACAAAGCAGCTAACCTTTTTATCTGCTTGGAACCCATGGATGGAGTAAACTTAATAGCTAATTGGGAAATGTTAGATTTAAATGGCTAAAAAGGGATCCATTGTAATGGTAGAAAACAGATATAGATCAATATTTATAGGCAATTATCAGATATTAAAATGACATAAATTGTAGATGAGGTCAGATAAATACTACAGATGAATAAAAAAAGCAATTGACCAGAATTGGCTAAAGTTCGATCCGGACTTAAAATAAAATATATATTGCAGCTCACCAGTTTTAACTCCTATTGTTTCAGGGTTGGCGACCTGGCCATTGTCACATTAGCAGTCTGCAGGCTTAGACATGGTAGTCTTATGGTCTGTTGCAAAGGTATTTAGGAGCCATCACTTTTCATTCTACCTGTTTGTATAGAAACACTATATTTCTATGTTTTCTTATTAAAAAGCATGTTAATCTGAACATAGTTCTCTTGTAATGTCTAGGTTAGGGCTTCTCAACCTCTTTACTTTGAAGCACCACCCTTGGCAATAATTCTGAGATCATGGAGAACCACTGAAAATAATTTTTATATCTACAGCTCACAGAACATTGGATCTGATCAGCGAACTTTAGATATAACAACTAACAAACAGCATTAAATAATAGAATACATATTTTTAAAAAAGTATCTCTTTAACCGGTTTCCCCGCTGCTCTATAGCAGGACTGCTACAGGGCGGCAGAGCTGTGCAAAATCATGTGTATATATATGTGATGTTGCATTTCCCGGGAATTGCCGAGGAACAGTGAAAGGAGAGTGGTCTGTGTGTAAAGAACACAGATCTATCCCCTGTCAGCACCGACATGCTGCTTTGTATTGCTGTGCATAACAGAGCAATACAAAGCAGCATGTTTCCCTAGTAAAACATACACTGCATAATTAGTAATACAGCACACAGTTAACACTTTGATCACCCCAGATGTTAACCCCTTCCTGCCCAGTGTCATTAGTACAGTATACTTTTTATTAGCACTGATCACTGTATTAATGTCACTGGGGATGTCAGTGGCAGTTAGTCACTTCCCCCCCAGTGTCAGAATGCCAACCGCAGGCCATGCAGTCCCGCTATAAGTCGCTGATCGCCGCCATTACTAGTATAGAAAAAATTCCATTATATATACCGCCATTTGAAAACGTAATAACGTTCACGTAAACCAATTGATTTACATGTGTTGGGATTTTTTTTAGCAAAGACATGTAGCAGAATATATTTTGACCTAAATGTATGAGGAAATTAGATTTTTTAATTTTTTACTGGATATGCTTTATAACAAAAAGTCAAAAATATTGTTTTTGTCTTTTTTTTTTTGTTTGTTTACTGTGCAAAAAATAAAAAAACTCACAGGTGATCAAATACCACCAAAAGAAAGCTCTATTTGTGGGAAAAAAGGACATAAATTGAATTTATGTACAGCATTGCATGACTGCGCAATTGTCAGTTAAAGTAAGGCAGCACTGTAATGCTAATTTTAAGAGCTGTAATTCCTAAACCCTTCCTCCAATTTGGATGTACATACCCTCAAATTAAACCTGAG